TATACAAGAGAAGTTGACATTTTGTTTTGAGGTAGAGATCGATTCGAGAATGTTCATGAAGACTCTGCATTTGCTGGTAATGAAATTCAAGGGGGGAATTGAATCTAACTTATCAAAACTATGACGAAGTTTTTGATAGCAAAAAGTATAGCTGCAAGTGACAGTATCACTGAGAGATATAATTTCCTGAAAAAAGGAAGGATTTGTCGTCTTGACTTTAATTAACTCCTTGGCAGTGCAAAAAAGGGCTCTTTCGGAAACCGGCCATTCACCAGGTATGACATTGAGAATATGTTGAGGAGTTGAGGGGGTCAGTCCAGTACAACGCTTCAACATTCGGTTTTCAAATGCTTGTATACGTTTCTCAATATATTTTGGGAAATTGCAACATGTGGAATGTCCAAATTCAATTTTGGACCTGACTAGAGATTTGTAAACGGTCAAAGCATTTTTGGAAGGCAAGCCTGCTTGATTGTTTGTCATAAGCTTGATGATGTTGCATCCAGACTGACAATCTTTGAACCCTTTTTCATAATGCCCACGAAGGGTTAAGCTGTCATTTAAAATTCACCCAAGAAATCGAAGAGATTTTATCTGATTAACTTGGGTACCTTTGATAAGAAGTCTGATTTAACGTTTAGAATTTTTGGCAAAATAAAGAGTGTTTGTCTTGCTGGGGTTAAAATATAAATTAAGATCAGCGCATGCATCGAAAAACAAGTTCGCTTTCATCGAGAGGTTATTGACAGCTGCTGGAAAAGATGAGTCCGCAGATATGATTAGAAAATCGTCTGCATATTGAAAAATGTAAGTTTTGTCATCTTGAAGATCATGCAAAAAAGCTGCGTATAAATTGGGGCTTAAACAACTGCCTTGTGTGATACCACCGCATATTTCAACTTTTTCGGTACCCATCACCAACACACCCTTGGATAAAAAATGAAGTATCCACAGCCGCATTTGAAGAGGAATCGAAAAGTTTAAGAGAATTCTACCAAGCTTAATCAAGTTGACACAGTCATAGGCTTTGCCGATGTCCAGGGAGAGCATGGCAACCATTTTCCCTGCTTTTTTTAAGCTGGCTATGAGAAAACAAGGTTTATTAACGCACATATTCGTAGATTTGCGTTTTTGATAGGCGTAAGACCGAGCTGGAATAATGTTCTTAGTTTTCAGGAAAGCAGTTAGTCTCTCCTTAACCATGAGGTTGATGGTCTTTATGAATACAGATATTAGTGAAATTGGTCTGAAGCTACTTAAATCATTTAAGTCTTTGCCTGGCTTGGGAATGGGAACTATTTTGATGCAACGCAAATCTGAAGGTATAAAGTTGATGGACCAGCAGTTGTTAATTGCATGCAAAAGCATGCTAAAGCTTCCTCCAGACAGTGCTCTGAGCATGTCATACTTGACTCCATCACAACCTGCAGCAGTAGCTCTCTTTCTGGAATGTAAATCATACATTAGCTCATGCAATGAAAAGGGTTTGTTACTGATACTACTAAAAGGAATTGAAGGCATTGTAATAGGATTAACAATTGGAATGTAGCGCTTGAGCATATCTAAGTATTTTTTATTATCACGGTCATTCCATACAGCACAACCGCTTAATTTTCGACTAGAATGTCCATGACCTTTGGTATAATTCTAGAAGGAACGTGGGTTGCCGTTACCACATAACTCTTTAATAGCGATGGCTCTGTGTGTCCTTTTCGCCTTTCTAACTGCAGACCTCCATTCTTTCAGTGTTTTCATATATTTAATGTAGTTGGCTGGATTGGCATATTTACTCATTTTTTTTCTTGCAGCTTGGCATTTGCGGAAAAGTGTTGACAGGGAAGGGTTCCACCAAGGTTTAGGTGAGAAGGACTCAATGTCAGGAAAGTTGGTTCTAGCAGACATGATCACAGACTAAAAGCCACTTTGAATTGATGATAAATCGGAAGGAAGATCAACTTTAGACAGACGGTCCATAAGGAAGTTGCGTGAAATGAAATTTTCTATTTTCTTGACGGAATTGTTACAACTGTGGAATATAATGGGGGAGTGCGGACTTTTGCCAATGGAAACATTGGACGTGTTCCAGTTGAAAGATAAAATAGTTGAGTTAGAGAAAGTTAGATCCAAGACACTGCTCGCCGTGCGAAATCTCCAGCTAGAATCACATTTTGTTCACCGTGAAGAAACTCGCATAATCTCTGAATCTCATCACGAAAAGTTTGCACATCGAGACTGGGTGGAAAGTATCATGAGGCATTGAAAAGATTCGGTTTCAGGTTGATGTTTTTGATGATGATGACGTCAACGGCAGAGTTATAGGGAATACGTCTGAAATTAACACCTTTCTTAACTAATATACTAACACCACCATAGCCATCATTTCGGCATTTGGTGGCTGAGGCATAATTCGAAACTTTAACTTCGAAACAATTTTCATCTTTCAGAAAAACTTCACTTAAGATACAAAATCTAGAAAAGATAGGTTACGTCGCACACTTCGAATATTATATTGTAAAAAGGATATCATGTTGAAACTTGAGAAAGAACCCCAGTGGATTTGCTCGCAGTACTGGATGCTCGAACGGGGCAAGAAATAGCACAGACAGACATTTTTTCTTCAAATTCTTTAATAAAATTGTGAGGGATCATCGGACGGATACTTTCTTGAATCGCGAGAATTAATCTTTCAAGTTCTGAAGACCGCAAATAGTTGTTTGAAATTTTCGGTCCAAGAAGGCTTAATTTCCTTTTGACGACAGCATTGTATTTATTTTTGGTTAAGATTTTGTTGGCATTTTGATTATCATCCTTGGTGGAAATTGCAGACGTGTTCCCCAGTGGAGGGAAATTGCCGTCAAAAGTGATGTCATCGAGACATTCGAAATAATTTGCGTAAAAATTCTTTTTGACCTCTTTATACGAAAGATTTTTAATCGCCATTATCCTGTTGATATTTGATTCAATTTCCCCATTAAGGCAACACTTATTGAGAGCGTTTTGCTCACTTGAGCCACAGGACAAGCACTTCATCGCCTCACAATTTACACGCTTCGGAGACTTTGCACAGTTAAGGCACCTGCTTTCTTTAGCTTTGCAGAATTTAGATACGTGATCGTATCTGCCACACTTAAAGCATTTCTTTAAAGTGGGTACAAAGTATTCGATCGGCAGATAACAATAGTTAAATTTTATTGACTTAGGGATGGCTCTTCCTTTGAAGCCAATTTTGATGCTGGTTGTGGGAATCCACTCGTCTTTGTTGTTCATGTAAATTCATTATCGTAACAAAATTATTGGCATTGGCAGCAGAGCTGAAAAGCAGTTTGGTTCTACCCCTGCTGACAACTTTTAATTGTTTTAAGCCGTACATACTGAAATCCTTCAACTAATCATAGAAATAGAGATTGGAGTTAATATTGATGCGATTTCCTTCTGCGTCTGCGCACGTTTCGACAAAAACGACAAAATTGCAGTTGGGAAGGAAATCGTACAAATTAATCTCGAGATTTGGGGCGGCTGTGGCACCTAAATCAGAGGGCTTGTCGGTAGCCTGTTTACTAGGCGGAATTAAAAAATTTGCGTTAGCTTCTCCGTTAGCAGATAAAAGAATATTATTCTCACCCATTTTCGATCTCTTAGGGTGCCCAGTGGCGTTCATGTAAAAATCTTCAAAACAGTCTCCATTAGTAGTTATAAGATCAGTCCCAGTCTCCATAGGGAGACGGGCTGATGTTGTTTTGGTTGTTATCACGGGGAACACAAAAAGAAAAAATCAGAAAGAAAAAACAAAAAATAATAATTGAATATATGTATTGCTTCTTAATTTTTCTCTCCTCTTCCTTCCCTCCCCTTCTTCCTTTAAGATTGTTTTCTTTGGTTATTTTATTACTTTATTAAACCTCTTTTCCTTTTTTCAAATATTTAAATTCTTTTTTTTTTTTTTTAAACACCGGTAAACACAAAAATTATCAGCTGCCGTTTGTAGAGATGACGTGTTGTATCGAGTGTGAATGAAATGCTAAAAAAAAGTCCCTCGATGATTAAATCCAGCCAGATCTTAATGTACCCAGTTGATGTTTGACTATCAATGTATCAACATGTGTGTTTGCGCAAGTGAGTCATGATTTGATGATTGATAATATAAGTGATAATAAAAAAGTGAAATCAGTACGATTTAATGAGAGAAATGAGTGGATGCTTAAATAAAGAAGTATTCAGCTCGTAAACAATTCTTTAAAGGACTCTTCTTCTTCTTTTCTATACATATAAAACTATAACCAAAAGCTTATAAGTGCACACAATAAGTAGAAACAAATTGTTTCGTTTTCATTTTCTGTGCACAAACCAAGACGGACCGCTTCGTTTCGTTCGACTTCGACCATTTGGAACGAAGTAAAGTTATAACATTTTGTAAAAAGTAAAAAAATAATACCATGTTCCCTTATATCCGTCTGTCGGTCATTGGAAGATAGACACTGGAAAAGTGTTAAGTGTGAAAGTCGATAAGGAGCCGTGGGCATTATCAACTTTTTACCCGCTTGTTGGCGTTGGAGCACGGCTGTACTTCCGTCAAGTTGTAGGGGTGAGTGTCGTCTTCTTATATATTTAATATATATATAATGTATATATAAATCTAACACTTCGCCTTATATACTGTACTAGTTCACTAAGTGGCATATTCGAATATATCTCAGTATATTAATGCACAATTGAAAAGGGTATGAAAAAGCATCCTGTCCCGAAGAGTGCTGTGGAGGGACTGTCCCTCTTCGAGGAAATGACGTCCTCTGATGACTAGCGTGTCATGGCGAAGGGTGACCAGAAAGTTGGACCACTAAAAGGGGGTCATGCAAAACGCAACTACAGTCCGTCCGATGTGTTGGGTAGCGACACTGCGGTTGAGCGGAACATGCGCCGTAGTGATTCGATGCCGGTTTCAGGTTCCCGGTCCGTGGAAAGGCGTAAGGCTAAAACCTGCACCCGCTGCCCCGCCCCTGTAGTGGGCTAGCAGGCCAGTGCGTGCGGAGGAGCGGAATGCTGCTGCAGGGTCGGTAAGCAAGGTGAAGGCGATTACTACTCGCCTGAAGGAACACGTTCTTTCGCCGGACAAGGTACCGCTGGCGGCTGCCAGTGAGCTTTTGAGCTTTGGCGGCGAATATGAGGCGATCTTCTTCGTCCTGGTGGCTGAAAATGCTCGCCTTAGAGGACGCATTGAGGAATTAGGGAAAGGCGGTGGATATTTTTATCCGCCACTTGCTTGGGCGGGGCACCCGCAACAACGTCAGCAAAAGCCAGTGGAAACATGGTTTGAGGTTGTCTGTGGTAAGAATATGGCGGACACCTAAGGAGGTGGTCATGAAGGTAATGGAACAGGTAGGACCGATGTCGGCCGTTCGGGTCCATCGTATTAAACCAATCCGCGGGAGTGGAGCCGTTCTTCGTACGCCATCCGTTGCGGAGAGGGAGGACATTGTGGCCAACGCAAAGTTTGAGGAAGTCGGGTTTGACGTTTCCATTGTGGAAAACCTAGGCCCGAGAGTTTTAGTTCTTCCCAGCAGAAGTTGAGCCCGTCCGCTCGTATGGATAAGCTGTGCAAGTTGAACCTTGGTTTATTCTCTAGACGGAAGGAGTTTGACGACGGGGTCCGCCTTGTGTCGAAACTGTGAGCTGATGCTGACAGCAAGACAAATGTTATTTTGGAAGGCTGTAGCACTGCTATGGATTGCCTTTTGCGTGCTGGTACGGTGTACGCTGTGTGGATGTCGCTCCCGTTACGCCCTTACGAGCGCGTGCCCATCTGCTACCGCTGTCTCAGTTTTGACCACATGGTTAAAAATTGCAAGGTGAGGGGGATAATTTGCCGACACTGTGGTCAAAGTGGCCACAGATACAATGTGTGTACCAACGTTGCTCACTGTAGAAATTGCGAATTTAGTGGGCTTCAAGCGGGTCAACTAATGATGTGGTCCGCCTATCCTGAAGACAATAGGATGATTGCGCGGGCAACTCGCCATTAAAATGGCCTTGGTCATGCTCATATAACTGCAATCGCAATTATAAGGCGCTGTGTGAGTTCGGCTAGTGTATGCGTGAGGTAGGCAATGGGGTGTCGTTGGCCGTGCGTGTCCGGTGGTAGGCTCAAGGGCTTGCCAGTGGATATGCGGGTGTTCCTTGTTCACAACAGCTACTCTGCTGTCATTGTGAATGATGTGAATGTGGAAGCCACACTTGCCCTAGCAAACGAATAGAAGGTGAAGTGTCGTTTGTATAACCAGAAGTGTCCAGATGAACCGAGTGAATGGTTCACTTTTTATAGTCCCGTTGGGGCTACTGACATTAATGTCACTATTGCCAATAAGACTGCAATGGGCTTGCTTGATTTCTCATGGACGGTGAAAGGTGTTACTAAATTGGTGATGAGCTACACCCCAGCCACGTCTACTGAAGTTAACGTCAAACCTTGGCGCACTTCCGGGATAAATTGGTACACCTATATGGTCCTTATTCGGGAGACGGTCACTGCGGTGCCGCTTAGGGAGTTTCAGAGGAAACCCTTAGATGAGCAGGCAGAGCACGTAACTTAATCGGTTTGGAGTGTCAAATACTTGCTCTTCGAAAGATGCCGCAAAGCAAAGCAAAGAAGTGTAAAGTGTAAAGTCGTCTGTCCAAGAAAAGAAAGGCTGCTCCCCGCCTTAGAAGGCAGTCCCAGCGTGCGGAAAGGTCTAACACTCCGCATGCAGTTTGGATAAGAATTGAATTGAGGCAATGCCTCAATGACTATAAACGCATGCTTACTGAGACTAAAAAGGACGACTGGAGAAATTTTGTCTCCCGAAACTATGATGATCCTTGGGGTCAGGTCTACCGCGTTATCAAGGGGAGAAAATCCTTGGAGATAAGCGGTATTCGCACTTCAAATGGAGTGCTATCCACTTGGAGGGAGTGTCTGGATGCATTACTGCAAACATTTTTCCCTGCGCAGGAACGGGAGGTGGCTCCCAGTATCGGATTTGAGCTTCTTACTCCTCCCATAGAAAAGTATGAAGTTGAATATGGAAAAGTATGAAGTTGAGTCCAAAGTCAGTCAAAAAGATCTCCAGGCATTGGCGGAATTGCCGGGGAGATGGCTAAGGCCATTTGGAAAGGTTTTCCTGATTACCTGTATGCGATTTATTGTCTGTGTCTGACTCAAGGCTGTTTTCCACAGCAGGGGAAAATGGTAAACGTCGTAGTTCCTCTGAAATCACCTCAGAGGGTGAGGAGTAATCCTTCGTCTTATCGGGGTATTTGTCTTCTCCCAGTGCTTGGAAAAGTTCTGGAGAGGATAATGATAGAGAGGCTTCAGATAATTCCTACTCTTAGTATGTCTGATAGGCAATTTGGCTTATGCAAAAGTCTCCATATGGAAGACATCTGGCTACATGTGCGTGTGTCAGAGATTGTAACGAGAAATATGTCTTAGGTATATTTATTGACTTTAAGGGTGTTTTTGATCATCTCAATTGGAACAATATACTTGCCAGGCTGGGAGAGGTGAACTGCCTGGAATTTAAACACTGAGCTAGCTATTTCTCTGAGAGGCGGTCTTGTATTGTCGGTAGAAACTAGATTGTCTTCAGGGATGTGGTTAGAGGCTGTTCACAAGGATTCATCAGTGGACCACTTATATAGAACATTATGATGGATGGTTTGTTAAGGCATCTACAAGGCATTTGCGGCGAAATTAATGGAATACTTGATTTCGCTGCATATGCAGATGATGCTCATCTTAGTGAAAGGTAGGGCTGGGAAAATTATAGAAGAACGTGGTGAAAGCGTTATGAGAGTGATCAGTGCATGGGGGCATAGTGTTGGTGTTGATGTATCACAGGAGAAAACTGTGATGATGCTGCTGATAGGTAGGTTCTCATCCGGCAGACCTCCAGTGATCATAGTGAATGGGATAAGGCTTAGGCCATATTACCATGAATGATCAGTGCAAGTTTATTCCACCCCTTGACAAGGTTAAATAAAAACTTATGAACGTTTTAGGGCAGATCCGTCGTATCCTACGGTGTGAATGGGGTGTTACTAGACGTGCCGTTCGTATTATATACGGCGCAAGCAACAAGGAGCCCCCGTGTGGCGTTCGAACGTTACGTCTGTTGTAGGACGAAATAAGATATTGAGCTGCCAACGTACAATGTTGTTGGCGTGTTTGCCCGTTTGTAAAACGGTCTCGACTGATGCTCTACAGGTACTGGTGGGTGGACCCTTTCTGGACTTTCAGGTTTTATGTCTTAGTAATGCCTATAGGATAAAGAGGTGTCTCGCCTTACTTGACGGGTTATGCTCTGAGGAAGTAGAGAAATTAAATTCCCGGGAGCGTGCCTTATGGCAATCACGTTAAAGTAATAGTCAGAATAGTGGAGTTACTTTTAACTTTATTCGTGATGTTTCCTTTGTAGAAACCCACCTGGGCTCTATCTCTAGTCTACATCTCGGGATTCTACTCACGGGCCACGGATGTCTGAATGCATTTTTGCATGAAAGGGACCGTCCTGAAACTAGGGCTTGCCTGTGTGGCAGTCCGTCCAAAGACTATGAACACGTGCTATTGGTGTGCCCTGAATACTTTCCATTCAGAGACTTAGAGACCAAGGGGGTTAAGGTAGTTCGTGGTAGCATTGTTTGCAGTCTGGCTCTCTCTACTCTTGAAACGACGGCTGCATTGAGCGCGTTTGCATCCGGTGTTTTCCTCAAACGCTACCTTCTTCGACGAGGCTTGGGTAACTCTGTATTAGCTCTGTTTTGGCGGGTTTATCCATGGTTTATTTGACTTCACTGACTGACTACTAGACCTCTATCTGGTAAGGCATCAGGAGCCCCCGAAGCAATCTTTTCGCTTCGGCCTGTCAGCGGGAATGGCCCATTGAGGA